TGTTGTAAATATTTTGTTGTGATAATGTTCCATTTCTTGTAAGGGTACTTGAGGCAGCATACTTCTTTGAGTATCTAGTGATTATTCCTTTAACCAACTGTTCAGAAGAATTGACAGTTTGAACCATTTCAAATGGAATGTGTCTTAGACTATAAAATAAACTTCGGAAGTAAAAATATCCCATGTACTGTTATTGAAAGATGTATAAGGGTGATTTCTTCTCCATAGATGCCTCTAAGTCTCCTGGGTTTTGAGTTTTTTTTTCTTACTATAGTTTTTCTCCCTCAAATCTTAATACTAGAGTCATTCCTCTACTTGTTCAATGTTTCAGTCTACTTAAACGCAATGCCAAAATTTACTCATAAAGGCTAAAAGAATCTCTGCATGGTTAAACTATTACTATTTCATTTAAGATAAGAGCCAACAAATTTTGATTTTAATTGTATTTATATATAGAATGGCTAATCTAAGGGAATGTTTTTTATTTACTTTTGAATTTCTGGAAAACCAAAGAGCTAAAGGTAACTCATTAAGTATTGCCATAATTTCAGAATAGACTACAATTTGTAGGCATTGAGAACCAAACCCTTTGCTATTGCTGATTTCAAGGTAATATCAAATTTTAGGCTTCACAGTGGAAGTTGAACTTTTTTCTATAAAGTCCCATATATATTCCATAAAGTTCATGTAAAAGAGAAGTCAGACAATGAACATAAATTGAAAATATGCAAATAAAAAATTCACCAACCAGGAAAGAAGACAACTTATTTTTTCTTTTCTTTTTTTTGGTACTGGGGATTGATATCAGAGGCACTCAACCACTGAGCCACATCCCCAGCTTTATTTTGTATTTTTATTTAGAAACAAGGTCTCATGAGTTGTTTAGCACTTCACTTTTGCTAAGGCTGGCTTTGAACTCTCAATCTTCCTGCCTCAGCCTACTGAGCTGCTGGGAAAGGTAGCCACAGTTGTGTTTGTAAATGTTGAGGGAAGTTGGGAATTGTGGGGTAACCAGGGACTTATGATTATAGAAGTCTTGTTAGGAAGGACTT